GTTTACAAATTGGTTCTCTTACGTGGAAGGCAAGGAGAAACCAAAGAAAGAGGCAAACCACTCCAGATGGGCAGGTGGCAGGTTTCACAAGCAGGAAACTCATAGGTGAGGCTTGTCTTGGGAGACTGCAAAAGGAATAGATCTCCACCCCTGCATGCCACAATCTTAAAAGTTTATAGACAGGCTTTAACAGGGTCAAGTCACATATATATTCAGTCCAGTCTTAACATCTCTCAAGCCTGCATCTTTGAAAACAGCACCCACTGTGGCAACACTGGCCAAACATAAATTCCAAGGACAAGTCTGGGGAGGAAGCTTCAATTGCCCAGATGCAGCTGGCAGGTCAACCAGAGGTCATGGCTTCTCAATGACCTCCAACATCCTACCCCTTGTTAAGGGCTCTTACAATCTTTTTTCTTTTTTTTTTAAGATTTTATTTATTTATTTGACAGAGAGAGAGACAGCGAGAGCAGGAACACAGGCAGGGGGAGTGGGAGAGGGAGAAGCAGGTTTCCTGCGGAGCAGAGAGCCCGATGTGGGGCTCGATCTCAGGACCCTGGGATCATGACCCGAGCTGAAGGCAGATGCTTAACGACTGAGCCACCCAGGCGCCCCAAGAGCTCTTACAATTTTATATGCCTCCTTTTCCACAATGTGCCCTGAACTGTCAGCAACGGGTTTCATTAGCAAGAAGGAGGCTCATCTGTTGGCTATCTGGCTGAATTAGAGGTAGATACCATAGCAACAATGTAGGCACATGCAAGAGAAAACATAGATTAAGATAATGATTACCAAAATAAGTAACAATTTTTTTGTTAAGAATCTCATGATCTGAACCACTGATTTATTGAGTCCTCTAGGCTGGGGGTGAGTTCACTCTGGTGTTCGTCTGTTCTCATGTGATTTAATAAAGGTAATACATTAGCAGACTGATTAAGTAGGAACACGTAACATTCTGTTTGGATGACACAGGTGCCTCCTTGCAAGGCTATAATGATATCCAAGGCCATCTTATTTTGGAGGACAACTTTTCTCCTCAGAAACATTTCCATGTTTGGTAAAGACAGGCTTTGTTAGCTATCGTTTAAGGCTTTTGAGTGAATTTGATAACGGTTTCTATGTGTGCTATAACATCCTCCAGGCCAATGGCAGGAGCAAAGAAGGTGGCCAAATGATCATACCAGTGGAAAACAGAACATTTCCACCTGGGCTTGAGGAGAGGGAGGTTAGCAGCTTTAGGAATTTGACTTCGTGTATGTATCATACATGTTGGGTGGGGGAAACAGCACTGTCTGGCATGAGGAGATGGACTGGGGACACAGTATGCCAGAACAGGAACCCCATTTTCTCCCCTTTTTTACTAGTGTGTTTCTTTTATTTTTTTATTTATTTTTATTATGTTCAATTAGCCAACATATAGTACATCATTAGTTTTTGATGTAGGTGTTCAACGATTCATTAGTTCTGTTTAATACCCAGTGCTCATCACCACATGTGACCTCCTTAATACCCATCACCCTGTTACCCCATACCCCCAACCCCTCTCTTCTGTAACCCTCAGTTTGTTCCCTGGAGTCCAGAGTCTCTCACGGTTTGTCTCCCTCTCTGATTTCTTCCCATTCAGTTTTCCCTCCCTTCCCCTGTGGTCCTCCACGTTACTCCTTATGTTCCACATATGAGTGAAACCATATGATGTCTTTCTCTGTTTGACTTTAAAAATGATGTCATTGACTTTCTAGTCCCCTTCTGGGTTTGCTTACTCTAACCTAAAGGCAAAATTTACCCATAGAGTTTTGCAGAGTGTGACCTTATATGATATCAATGCCCAATATATTCTCTGGAATTGAAGATATAAAAAAATCTCAGATTCTTGTGAGAACATCCAACTTGCAGTGTCAAAGGGACCTTTCTTTTTTTTTTTTTAAAGATTTTATTTATTTATTTGAGAGAGAGAGAATGAGAGAAG